GGGCACATCTATACTGTATGGAAGCAATGTCCTCTCTGGAACAGCACACAAGCCCTCTTACTTACCCCACATGAATCTTTGCTGCATATTGCCCCAGGATGTGTAAGTAATCATATGAAAACCAGACTTTGGTATTTTACTTGTAATGAACAAGGTCCTGACAACCGACAAATACCCTAACTACAGCATGAACATTTGTCAGCGTGTACTTTCATGAGCCAGAAAAATGTCGCGCGCTTGTCTGGTGCTTGATTTGATAAGCCTTTTAACAAGCTCACAGTCATTCTTCCCTCACTCACAGTCGTATCTCAGGCCTTGATGGAGATAATCCTGCATAGATTTTAAGTGTAAAATGTTATTAATGTATGGTTACTGCAATTTGTAGATTTTCAATTATATTATCTTTATAGCTTTTACAAGATTTAGTCCATTTGTGAGGTAAAGTAGATTCTGTGTCTGCTTACTTGACCTTACATGGCCAAAGTGCAGAGTGGCAACTGTAAATGCCCACCTGTTATTGCACCACAGTCTCTACCACCACTTAAAACTACGCCTGGAGTAATTTTCCAGACAGCCTTTTTACTGTACATGTGCATCTTAATTTGACATCTATTAAGTCTCTGTTCAGTTGGTTAAAGTTTTTGTGGCCTGTAACTATCTCCTAGGACAATGCCGCTGTGTGTTTTGGGTATCCCATCCTGCCTGTTTCAGCACCCAGCCCACCAGTTTAATCTCAATTACATCCCGACATCCCATCTGCCCCTGAAACTCAGCAGCATGGCTTGCATCTTCCCTCCATGATGAATAGCATGGGACTGAATGTTTAGCTGAGCAGTTAATCGATCAATAAGAAAAGGGTCTACTAATGGATGTGCTTTGTTTCACTGGATGAAGGGGTGGAGCGGGTGTTTCTCCCGACAAGCTCTGAAGATGTATCTCCATTCAGATGTGATAAATAAATAAGCCAGAGCAGAGATTGATCAACCATTTGCATGTTTTAATGATGCCTGCTTTAAACTTTATATTGTTCATAATTTCTGTTGCAGGGGGAAACACATGCAACATTAATTAGCTCATCACAAGTTATTTGCCGAAACTTCAATATTTGAAACTATTCTCTTCCTGTTATAAAGGAATTACAAATCAGTTTCATTAGGATTTTGGAAACTGATTAGCAGAAAAAGGGCAAACCATATAATCTCTACAAATTGATCTAAATTAAGTGCAATTAGAAAACAATTGATTGCAATAGCATTAACCCTCCACATACACTTTTTTCCTGATGAAATCCCCACTGGTGAAGTGCCATTTATCGCCGGTCTTTAACCAGTGTGTGACTAGTGCTGTTAGGTTATGCACAGGTCTGTCTGGAAGGCCCGCCTCTGGTTAATTAGCAGTGAATGCTGTGTTTTGGCAAAAGCCAAACACTGCACAGTTACAGAACACACAGTCCCCTCACTCTAAATCATAATGGTGGCAGCTTCATGCTGTTAGGATGATTATATGCAGCAGACCCTGGAAGGCTTGTGATGAAAAATTTGTGGCAGGACTTTCAAATGCCTTGATTTCATGTAACACAGCAGATCTTGGGCAGTTTAGCCAAGAAGAATTGAGTATCCACACAGATCTTGTCACATATAGACAAGATTATAATTGCTGCCAAATGTGCCTGAAATAAATATTGACTTGGGAAGGGCAAATACAATCAGTTATTTAATTTTTTATTGGTACTTGATTCACTGACATTGGATAAGTGTCAGGAAGCTTGTGTGCTTCTGCCCTAATTCAAAGTATTAAACTCTAAAACATGGAAAAGTCCATGTGTGGCGGGGTAAATGTCCTTTTTGTTTTTTTGATGTGATGGCCAGTTGTAAGGAGAGCTCATACCTCTGTTTTACCAAGACTGAAATGTTTTGTATAGGGAAGTCTGCTGGTGAAGTCTTGATTGGTTTTCAGCTTAAGTCCTCCGTACTGTGTGGCTGCCCAGTGCTCAACATCATAGAGGAATTAGATCTACTTCTAATCAGTCCAGTTTGTGCTTTTTGAGTAAATCTCATGCTCCTCTTCAGCTTGGCTCCTCCTCGTGCTTACTTTATCTCTCTTGACTGCGCCCCCCACCCCCACCCTCCCGGTCCCTTTACACAGTGCATCATTTGAAGAGGTGAGGCTGTTGAGCGCTCAGAGGAATAAAAGTGATTTATGAATGAGCCAACCTACCTGGGTCTGGGTGCGGGGGGGGAAAGCCAGTGGCAGCCAGGCTCTCTGATCCAGCCGCCCATTGTTCCCTCCAGCTTCACTGCAGGGGAAGCTCCTATGCCTCTCCCACCTCTGATCCTTTACTGTGCCTAACTGGTGTTGTGTATTGCCGTTAAGTGACTCACAAACTACACAAACACCTATGCACTAAAAGGGTGCATATGTGTGTAAGGTCATTTTCTCAGAGGCGCACTAATACACCCCAACAGTATACTGATTATCATCTATATTTGTTATGTTTCATAAAAGACTAATTTGTGTTAAAGGTTTTCATTTTTCTGGCTATTGGAAGTTAATACAGGTGAGGTCAGCCAAATTAAAAAAAAAATACAGAGGGAGAGCAGTGATGTGAAAGGTGTTGTAGCTTCTGAGGACAATGTATGAGTTCCTCTTATGGCCATATGCAGATATACCACATGCACACATTTATGCAATAGAATATTATGGTTTTAAAACTGGTAAGGATGATATGGTCTTATTTTGTGTCTTAGCCGCCATGTGTGCATGAACTCGCCAGCGTTTACAGATTAATGCATAATGATTCCTGAAGCCAGGATGGTGGACACAATAAATGTGTTCAGAGGAAAGGGTATACACAGGTGCTTAGCTGTAATTAAAAGATAAGTATCACAGAGATATATCAAACTAACTTATGAAATGGAGATGAACTGCATTTAGTGAGTTCTTCTAGCCAACATTAGGAAGTAGTCATTTAGTCTGAAGATACTGATCCTGTTGATTTATTTATTTTTTTTATTGCATATACTATCTGCATTATGTTGCTGTAGCTTATTCTAGATAAATGTACTCACTGAAGAGTGCACCCATTAATGATGTAGTGCAGTGACTGGTTCATTCGGTGAGCCTGGGTACCAGTTTGCTGTCGCATGCACTCTGACTTAATTGAAAAGTCCCCCAATCCTAGAAGCCCTACCAGTGTCCACCTCTCTGTGAGCTGGGACCAGTCCAACAGATCAGTCAGAGGACAAGCTGATATAAGCCCCAATCCCCCTGTGACCAATCAGAATGGCCACATTTCCTTCTAGGGCTGGGCCAGTGGTGGCTCTGAGCCAATAGATAAGCTCAGCCATGCTGTAATGCTCTGTCTGTCCAGTAGCATGCTGAAAAATTGAGTCCTGGCTACCATGTGGCTGTAGCACATGCTGGCAGGGGGGATGGGTGACTGGTGGTGGGGGTAGCGGAGGGAGGCACGGATGGATGGATAGAGCAAAATGAGAGGAAACAAGGGATCGATGGATGTATGAAGGGAGGTAAAGAGAGGGAGGGATATATCCCCTACTGAAGACACTCAAGGACACAAAGAGCTTTTGGGAAAGTGACCATAGTATGCAAAGAGAAAAGCTTGTATTGTGAAGCCACTGTAAGCACTGCTTGTATGTTTTTTGCCGACTTGCCAAGCCTAGAAAGAGTAGGATTTATTTGTGGCACTTTAAGGGCCTCAGCAATGCAGGTAATAAATATGACAGAGCAAGGTGATGTACTTCCACAGCACAGCTGTCAGGCATCTTTAATATTTTCTTCCCCCATTTAAAAACAAACATAGTTTATCTATTTATTTGATGTACTGGAACAATTGAATTTATTTGTGCATTTGATGGTACTTTAACATCAGTGATTGGACTGTGTTGTTTTTTTTAATGAAACACAGAAGCATACTGAATATTTCTTAGTTGAGCAAATGTAAAACGTCAGCATGAGTCTTGCAGCATGCTAAATATGGTTTCACACAACAGATGTTAAATTAAGTTAAGAAAACATCACTTTGCCTTTTTTTTAACTGGCAGGTAGCTCAGTCTGTTTTAATTAGTTGTATATTTGCCTGCTTTATACTTCATAGAGTTTGCCGGGGGCTGCCACAGCAGGTCACTACAGTGTGCCTATGTGATTTGGCACAGGGTTTAAGCTGGATGCAACTCCTATTTTAATCTGTTCTTGGGACCAGCCGGAAAAGCACTGGCTTGTGCAGCCCCAATGGTTTGGTGGTCCCTGGTCCAGGAACTAACCAGGCCCATCCCTGCTTAGCTTCTGAGACTGAATCACTGCGGCATGGCTACTACCCATTACTGCTGATAGCTGATAGTATAACATAAGTATTATTGGGAATGTCCCAGTTATGCATTTGTATTCCCAGTCCACATCTTCGGATATTGGGAGTTGATATTAAGGCACTGTATTTTAGAGCAAGCAAATTAAAGATAACAAATGGCCTTGAATGTCAAGCAGTTCAATTAATTTTTAATATGGTATATGGCAGCCAAATTTTTTCAGAAATACTGAGTCATACCAGAGAATTCAGCAGTTTTCAGTTTGTAAAAACAACGGTGCAGAGCCTCATATGAACAATGTGAAAATGGAACAGACTGAAATGTTTTTAACCCGTGTGATGTGCATGGTCAAATGTAAGCAGAACCCACGCCCAGTCATATATTTTTTTTTTTTTTTTTTTTTATCTTATCAGTGGAAAGGGTATTATTAACCCTAATGCACTATGGGGCACACATTCAGACCAGTGTTCACATCCAAACCAAGCGTTGCTGCTGAATAATGCAGGTTATGTTACCTTGGTAACCCGTATGGACACTGAAGTCAGTGGCTTCCATGTAAATGTGGGATGACGGGTCAGAGAGGACAATGATTTATGTTTGTTTGTGTCTTATGGCATGCCTGTGCACACACATACAGACATACAAAGAATACCAAACTGACAATGGAAAAGCACTTTCTTTGTTAGAAAAAAACATGTTTTTGGAGTAAGAGTGGAGCTTACATGGAAAATTATACCAGAAAATCTTCATTGCTTTATTTGTAAAATCATGGATCTTTGTGGAATACTTTCAAGTTTCTTTGGAGCCTTATTTCTATAATGTATAGTACATCCATACAAGCCTCGTTCCCCCGCCATTAGCAAGTTGGCTGTTAGACATTCACTTTGGGGCATATGGCCTGTTGTCTCAGTGGTTAGGGGAGGGAGTAGCTAATACAAGGCCCTTTGATCCCCATTATTTCCCACTGCAAACAATAGATTTTAATTACCAAACCACTCTTTCAGCCACAGTTTCTTTCTCTGTACGTGTGCCCAGAAGTGTAACTGCCAAACAAAACCAGACTCATCAGCTGCAATACAGCAGCTTGTTTTGTCACTTTGGATTTGCTCTGCCAATTACTGTGGTAGAAAATGTGATGGTTTGTTATCCATTGTGTTTAAGGGGCAATACTGGCACTGCTGACTTTCTGGGTGTAAAGAGACCCTGACTTCCAGAGATGAATGTTTCAGGGGAAGTGTGAAGATGAATGCAATGCATTTGTTGGGGTAGAAAGGTGGAAGGTGGGCCAGGGAGCCAGGGATGATTTAAAGTGGTAGATTTTCTGTGAGACTGTAGATCACGGGGGCGTCTCAGCCTCTCTGTCCATACGGTGATAGTGTGGCAGGTTGCTGAGTGGCTGTCGATCGAAAGACCTTCAGACAGCCCGAACTCTCCTCCATTCTCCAAAACTCAGAGTCAGTCCCTCAGTTCTGTATATTGCTTTGTACCTCTGTGTGAAAACATTTGCAGTTAATTTCACCCAGCAGGAGTTAACGTATTTCAAATTAACTTAAAATGGCCAATTTCTCAGTCTCGATAAAAGTGTCATTTTCAGTCTAAAATGAAGCATTGCCTTCACAAATAAAAGGTAATTTAGATGATGTTGGGTGGGTGGCCATGTGTTTAAAAACCTGAAAACGATTTCAATGACAGTGACATCAACACAAAGATCACCAATGACCCAGCAAGTTAGAAAACATGTATAGTAGATCTTAAAGCTTCCCCATGTGAGGTTTTTGATATTCCCATATATACATATATATATATACATATACACACACACACACACACACAGTGTGCTAGCCTTACTAGCTAATGCTAATAATTGCTAATTGATAATAATATATTAGAAGAGTTCGATCTCCATAACTGACAGTGTTGTGTTTAAAAAAAACAAACAAACAAACATGGAGAGGAAGAGTTGTTCATAGACGGTCTGTCGTCATGGTTGTCAAGTGTTGTGTGTGAGAGAGAGAGAGAAATAGAGTGATGCACAGAGGCACAGAGCAAACATATGTGCTACGCACAGGTCTAACCTATTTTAAATCAATATGTGGTGGCCCGCCACAAATAAATCAATGTATGGGAAACACTGAGCTGTGTGTGACCTTCTAACTGAGCTCTTTCCACAAATTGAACATAAAAAAATTGGCTAGGGAATCTTCTATGCTAATTTCACACTCTGTCATACTGGCTGGTGCTCTGGTTCTGTTATGTACTGATATCGCGAGACAGCTTTTCACCCCGACAATAAATAGTCACATTTTAATACCGCGAGATCTTGTGGCACGAGATCTCGTCACACCCCTACCGTACATGCAATTAATTACACAGCATTAGAGATGCATTGATATTCTGTGTGCATGCATATTGGCCAGTAGGTTTCATTTAATCTTCATGAATTTAATTTCTGCATTACAGTCACAGAAAAGCTACTGTATTTATGAAGCTGGTCATATAAGTGGGCAGTGATGTGTAGCATCTACCCAAGGGAGGTTTGCAGTAAGAAGAGTGAGCAGAGTGAAGGGATTAGAGATTATTTTCTTTCCTCTGTTAGCAGCTTGTTTGATATACAATGACTTTAATGAAAGGGAGGCCAGTGACTTCGGGTCCTCTGGTAACACCACACTCAAGTCTGATATACAATTTTCATTTCTTACATCCTACAAGTGAACTTTACAAAATGCTGTTACCGAATCTTATCAGGTGTGTTTTTTTTTAAGCTGGTTATTTGCGTATTGTTGAAATGTATTTACTTCTTTAAGTCCTTTTCATATAGGAGGTAAATTCCACCTAAATATTTTTTTAGCCTTCTTCAGATTTGCATTAGTAATAGATGAAAAATGAATGTAGGGCCTGTTATGTCAAGATTCCAGTCCTGTTCAAAAGGTGATATTGAGTATGGTTGTTTTATGGGTAATGGTGCTATTGAGCAATTCTTTGATATAGAATGCTTGAGTTAGGTGTCACTCTATTTTAATCTAATCTGCATATCATAGCTTTTTTTTTTTTTTAATATCATTCATCACATTTTGGGTGGACTGATGTATATTGTGACTATTAGAGCTGGTGCAGATATGAGAATAAGGCTTTTTGAAGGTGCTGAGGAGAATAAAGTGCAAAGGACGAGTAGCATGGGAAAATAATTGGGTCATCTTGAACCAATGGGACATTAATATGCCATTGGGCTTCTCTGACTGTCTTGCTTCCTCCTTTATAAATTACTGTGAATCAGGACACCCCCTAATACTGAGTGATTTAAGGCTAATTAAAGCTAAGCCTTTATAGGCTCACACCTACTTCCCAAATGAAAAGACACCTGTACCTGAGATGTTTGAAAATGCACCTGGTGTCTCCTAAACAACCTTCATGGCAGCAGCAGTGGCTATAATGATACCCATAACATCACAGAAATGCACCCTTTTCTCATCTTTCCCCCTTCCCAGTTTATGCAAATAGTATTTAATAAAAGCATGCTTACTCTGGAGCCTCAGGTAGAAGTAGGCAGGGGAAGGTCACATTGTAGGGGAAATTATTCCCTTCACGGCATAGTAATGAAAGCCTTTTTTGTCAAGCAGAGCCAGTTAGGTTCTTGTCCTCAGCTCTCTGGTGCACTGCTGGCCTGGATGTTACATGCGTTTATTTACTCTATCCACAGTTGGATGGCCAATAGCTGTGGGGCGGCCCTGATAAAGTGAACTGGTAACCAATTGCTTCAGGTTTTCCAATTGTTTATGAAGCGCAAATCATTTTCGGTGCACCACCTAGACAGCCAGTGATTGAATGACAACATGCGTCTAAAGATGTAATCATTGGTACCACTATCGCAAAAGAAGGCAGAGAAATAACTGAACATGCGACACTCCAAGCAAGAGAAAGGAGAGGAAGCCATTGCTCTCAAGTAAGCTACTAGCTTAGCTAGCTTCTAAGCTAGCTGACTTAAAGTAGCAGGTTAAATTTGGTAATTTGCAAGAAATTCTGTAACACAGGTGCTTAAGTAGTGCAGGTGTGTGTCGAGACTCAAACAATTAGCTGATGTTCAGATAAGCCTAGAAATTAGTGAGCTTCATAAAGTCTGGTAGCAAGCACAACATGGTGAAGGCACAGTGAACAGGAAGTGAATACAGGAACAGGAAACAGCAGTCCTCTAAGGCAATCAGTTTTGTTTTCATATTCTAAGACAAGCCACCAGCCACTACAACACTTACTACTGAAAGTTGAAACTTTTTTAATTTTAACAAGGCTAGTTAATGCTTTTTTGATTAATTAATTGAATGGGATTTTCTTTCTTCCTGAACACAACCCAGAAGTTATGGTTTCACTTCAGCTTGCTTTTTGTTGAGTTTATACTAGTTTTGTTTTCATACACATAGATAAGCACATGTAGCTTTCCCATGCAAAGCAGAATGTTTTAAAATCAGGGTAACCATTTGCAGTTTTATGACTCTTGCCCTTCAAATCTCTCACACATGACGGACAGCGCCTCTGCTAGTGAAAGCTGTATGGCCCAGTTGAACGCTCCATTAAAATTAAGTGAACCTTGAGTTGGGATTCATTTCAAAGGTCAAGAATTAAATTTGATAATCAAGACTAATTTGGTTAAGGTATGAAGATACCGAGCATTTGCCACCACAGTTCTAGATCTGATCTGTAGGTTTGGCCATATAAGCACTCAGTTGCAAGACTGATCATTTTCATTATAAGTTTTATAAAGCTTTTCATTTTCCCAAGGCAGGTGGCACCTTTTGGCAACTAATTTCTGATGCAGAATTTGAATCTCCTTTCACGAGCTCAAAGCCATAGTTAATGGATGAGAGTATGCCAAACACGTTTCCTACATCAGAGTAACCATATGTTTCTGCTCAGCCATTAATCTCAAGCTGGATGTTGACTGTTCTCGTCTTGTCCTGTCCTCCCGAAGTTACTGTCCCCTTCGCTTACCCGTTGTAAAAACGGTTACTGACTACCACACAGATGGCTGTCAGCCAGGCGAGGGCAGCAGAAGGGCCCTGTCGACCCATAAACACACACGTTGCACACTCTTTAAGTTCACTAACGCCAACACGCACACAGGGATGAGGGTGTTGGAGTGTTCTGGTCAGTGACAGTTTACAACCCAAGACAACAGGCCCTGGTGTAGGTTTCCTGATGGACTCTTGAGATCTCTCACAGGGTGACCCAGTTCTATCATGTCTCACCTTCTCCCTCTCTGCTCTACCATTCTGTTTCCTCAGCTGCACCTCTTTATGCATTAACAGAGACTATTATGCTGGTTTTAATGTTCAGTTGTCACTACTCTTTAAATGTTTCCCTCTCATAAAAGATTTTTACTTGTCCAAATGTTAACTCCCAGATCAAGTCTTTGCCTTCTGCTCAGTAAAAGGTGTGCATCTGGAGTTGACCAGACTCGCTCTCTCCAGCCCAGTTGACAGGCTCTTCATGGACAACACCCCATCCCCCCCATACCCTTCAGTCACTGCTATAATCACTTCCCCAAGAGATTTAAAAAAAAAAAAAACAACTAGGATTTTTTTTTCTTGGTTCTTAATTCACTCGTTTTTTCTGCATTTACAGCAAATAGCTTAACTGCAATGCAGCAGTACCAGAATGGAGCATTAATATTAATGTCCACCCATTTCACCCAGGGTGGCAGTGAGCCTGTCAATCTCGAGTTCTGTTAGAGGGGCTCCAGTGAACACCTGCCCAGCACTCATGTGCCTGGAACTATCACTAGAAGGTGCCAGTCTGCCCGTGTAGTGTGGCAAGCATACATTATTGGCCAGGCATTCTACATATAGGTGATATTTCTAGCCAATCCAGATTGAACATATGTTGTACTTTGCAACAGTTCAAAGGGGAACAAAGAGCAAAAGTTTTATGCAGGACAAGTGCCTCTGGTTCCAGTGGAAAATATTGAAGATAAGAAATAAAATGTTGTGTTGTTTGTCACTCTTAGATAAAGAAATCTAAACTTTATTGTTCTGTTGAACCATTGAGAACAAGTGTAATGTTATATCATTAGACAAGAATCAGATGTGGCAAGGTCTTCTCTTGAGTAATTTGCTTGTTTAAGTCACAACTACTACTCAGTGGGAGGGCCGCAGATGAAATTACTCCAAAGTCCCCCATGAGGTGGTAAATCTACAGTACACAAGCAAATAGTTTGCAACAAAAGCGACACATTATGAATGTGAGATTAGGCAGAGTGGGTGCGGTTGCTGTCACGTTTAAGCAGTGCTTCTCTGCATTAAGTGGTTGAAGATGGCTGCAAGCAATGCAGGTGTGTGCGTAAGCCTCTGTGCAATGAGAGGCAGAGAGAAAGTGAGGGAGCCTGAGATCAGTGTGCTGCGCTGTTCATCACTGCAGCAGTACACCAGCCCTGGATCTCTGTCCGTACATAGGTGCTGACTGCCTGCCTCCCTGTTTCTCTGCCCCTCTTTCTCTGCTCTCCTCAAGAGGCTGTGCTGGTGATCCTCTCTTTCATTACCCCAGAAAGAAGGAGACAAGCAGTAGGTTTAGCCAAAGCCCACAGGGAACAGCTATCCTGATTACCTTCAGTCTGAAAACCTGCCAGCATGTTGGTGTGCACTTCTGTGTTTTCTCTGTCTTAATAGTTAACAGCCTTCATTGATTGTGTAGGCTGTGGCCTGCCAACCCTTTTCTCACACCTATTTCCTTCTTTACTGTTTCAAACCCTATTTGCCGTACTGTTGTATACGTAAATGCTTCAGTGGCCAAATGGGGGGCTGTTCACCCATAGCAAAGTCAAAAGAGTAAAATCAGCTGCCTCCTTTTGTCGCAGTTCAGATATGCCCTGCACGATTATTCAGGGTTAATCAAGGTCAAAAGTCTTCCCTCCAGCGTTGCTGCTGTAATGCTTTTGAATGTACATTGTGTACCAAACTACAGACAAGGTAGAAGAACAGTTCAAGGATAGAGTTCAGGCATTTCATTCATATTCTATAGTGTTTGCACAAATGGAAGAATTGTATTTGTTGCCTTTATTTATTTATTTATTATCAGATATCCTTGACTAATGCACTGCTAATACATAAAAAAAGGGGTGCATCTCATTTCAGTGTTCTCATGTACCATATGGATGTATGCCCATAGGCTAAAGCAGAGTGTGAGGAGAGGCAGGAGTTGGGGGCAAAGAGATAATCAGAGGAGTTCATACACTAAACATTAAAGCTGGCATGCTAGGAAACCTATTAATTTGACTTAGTAAGAGGAAGGCTGTTAATGCGCATCTATTTATTTCTAATTGCAGTCAGTTGAAGTTTTTTCTCATGTTTCCCTGCTGTCTTTTTTCTCATCTTTATATTTCATGCATAATGGAAAAATATGTGTATGGGGTTTTTTTTACCAGTAAAACTGAAGTCTCTTACTTCAGTGACACTGTAGGGAGTGACAAACTCCTTTTTTATCTCCACTGTGACTCCTTCTAAGCCTTCCTCTCGTGCAGTTGCCTTTGCAGCCACGTCTCTCTGTGGCACACATCCTCTAAATGACCTTCAACAGCACAGAACTGACTCGCTCTTTTCACCATACCAGGCCACTTCTGTTAAACAGCGCTGTTAAAGCAATGGATTTCTTCCCTTCCCACCTTGTCTGTTTCCTCCCCAGGAGGCGACCTGAGTGAATGCAGCAAAATTTCATATAATTACCATTTTTTCCTCCCGGTGATGGGCGCATCATCAAGGGAAACGTGGCTTCCCATTTTACCCAGAGAGATTGTAGAACAGGTTCTCTAAAACCACACACAGCACTTGTACTGTTAAAGATTGATGTAAATAACCCCCTGCTTAGAAAAAACAACTCTCTCTAAATTGATTTAATATTCTTGTCCCCATGTGTGAAAATGGGATGTGCTCTTATAGAAAAAAAAGAAAAAAGTGTATTAGAATATGCTGTGAATCAGCAGAACAGACACTGTGTGATGTGTTGGCTTACAACAACTTGTGTCTGGCCTCGAGCTATCAAACATGAGAATTTCCATTCACATAGATCAGTTGTGGCATTTTATGCCACAAATTTGCATCTTTCATCAAATTAACTGCATTTTCTGGACTTTCTTTAGTTTTTCTCACGTGCCCAAGCCCAGAGTCCAGTTAAACATGCACTTCTCTCCTTCTGTCTTTCTCCTCTTTGTGCAGTGCCATGCGCGTGCTGTTATCCAAGCTGCCGAGGCCTTGGATTGTAGATGAAAAGAAAGATGACGGCTACACTGCACTGCACCTGGCTGCCCTCAACAACCATGTAGAGGTGGCTGAGCTTTTGGTGCACCAGGTAACAACACATCAACACTCACAGATATACAAATAGCAAATTTTAATGCATGCTTAAGCACTCATCTTAATGACAAATATAGTTATTCACATTCTGCAATAGATTCTTTTTGTTTGAAGATGCAGCTATTCTTTGGTTATTGCTTTTCTGGCTGCAGCCAGAAGGCTGTAGACTAGTTGAAGCTGTGAGAACTGCCACATTTTATTGAATCCATATGGTTCACAGGACCTCCAGGGCTTTTCTTTAGTGCTGCTGGGCCCTCATATCCTCCTCCTCTTGCAATCACAGGTTCATGCTCTTTTTTCCCCTTCTGAGATTGCAGGTTTAACCCCCTGAAGACTAACGCAAACAGGAGCTTACAGTAAAAGTCACCTGACAACACGGGAACTGGGTTAATTAGGATATGGTGCAAGGCAGCAGCGTTGCTGCTGCAGCATTCCAAGGAATGAACGTTCGCTGTGCAAGCTACCTTTCAGCAGGGATGGCCTTTTTCCCAAGTCTCTGCAATGGGTTGGTTCACAATGATGGCTCAGCTTTCTATTCAGAAATTGCACCACACTTCAAGGTGCACTGCAGATTCCCTGCCGCCCAGCCAGCCAGTCAGTCCGTCTTATTACTTGGGGATTTCACACACTGCGTGATCACAATGCTTATCTTCCCTCCACATCTCCTCAGCTGAGGTGTTTGCAATTGGAAATGACAGTCACATGCAGCGTTATTGTAGGATGCGTTTTCCCATCCCCCTAGATGGCACTTTGTTTGTCAGGAGGGTTGAAGGAAGGAAGGTTCTATCATGGCACATAAAGCCAGAACATTTGTGATCGTCTACACAGTTGCACTTGTTTTATTTTTTAACTAAAGTTTTTTCTTTTTTGTCTACATTTATCCCTTGTCATCTTTCTGTGTGCACATATATGTGGCACAATATGGTTGGTTGTTAATGAAGGCAAAAATCCCAATTTGTTTACAGTGTGTGTGTTTTTCTTTTGCTTGCACTTCCCAGGGCAACGCCAGCTTAGACATCCAGAATGTCAACCAGCAGACGGCATTACATCTGGCAGTGGAGCGCCAACACACCCAGATAGTCCGGGTTAGTGGGCCCTCTTCTTTCTTGTCCTTCTTTTTTCTCATTTGTTCTGTTCTATCTCTAATTATATCTCTATCAGTCCTTCATTCTAGACCATACACAAAAGGGAGTAGAATAACATCAGTTCAGCCCTGCATTTAATTTACACGGTGGGATGTCCTGCAGTTAAATGAAGTGCTGCTTCAGATTAATGCTGTGTGGAGAAAATGCAATCTGAGGCAGTGTCTTTGTTAGAGTCATTTGGCCTAGTGTTGGATTAAGATTGCCACGTTGCCATCTTGTGGACTTCAGAAAAAATGCACTTTATAATTGGGGAATACAAAACGCAGGCACTGTAAACAGCAGCCTTATTATTCAGCACTGTGCCATTTGCATTGTAGCATAGAATTAAAGTTGTTTTATGGTTGTTGCTAGAGCTTCTGTTTTACTGCCTGGCGTTATAACTCTTCGTTGACGTGTTTGTCTAAACAGCTGCTGGTACGCGCAGAGGCCAAGCTCGACGTGCAAGACAAGGATGGAGACACACCACTTCATGAGGCACTGCGTCACCACACGCTGTCCCAACTGCGGCAGCTCCAAGATATGCAGGATGTCAGCAAAGTAGAGCCCTGGGAACCCTCAAAGAACACGGTACATAACACATCTATTATTAACCTCTGTCTCATAGACGCTAAAGGTTTCTTTTGTCAATAATAATGAGTAATTGAATTAATTAAAATTGAATTGATTTGAATTATGGGAGGCTCAATTTAAATAGGAGGTCATTTGAAGAAATAAGGAAACGTGCCTCCTTGAATGGCTAGGAACAGAATGCTCATTAATACAGTACATTAAAAATTGTAACAGGCTACCTGCCAGTACTCTTTAAAAGGTTTCTCATTTTATCCATATACCTCCTTTTCAAGTCTCCCAGCACAAATTCAGCAGAACACTGGGACACACCCCCAGACAGTAATATACGAGAGATCACACATAGACAGGAAGCTCTGTGCTCCTCAGCCCCCTATCACCTGTATCACTGGACAGCCCAGACTGCAGCAGACCATCATTTAGACAGCAGCCCAGCACAGAGCAGCCAACCAGTTCGCTGGCACCTCTTGACCAGCCTGAATGAGTTCATCCCTCTGTAGAGGCCAACAGGGGCTTGTCAGACCTGAGCCCTCTCCATGTTACCACCACATCACTAGTACCAGCAGGGATGATTTAGGGCTGCAGTGCATGGCTGCAGCAGTAGATTTCTTTTATGTCACCTTCTGTCTCTCTCGCTCTCATTCTCTTTACTCCTCTGCCTCCTGTCTTCTGTCCTCCTCCCTGCCCTCCCTGGTTCCTCGTTGATGGAGGAGCAGAGCAGACAGACAGCGAGCCTAATTGAGATATGTACAGATGGGTCGTTCTCTCATAGCCCCTCTGCCCCCAAGATGATAATTGAATTAGTCAGCCCGATGGCTCCATCAGACAATCAGACATGGAAGGCCCAAATTGTGTGAGAGAGGGAGGGCTTTGAGTTGGGATAGACGTGAGTGAGGCAACGAGCAGGAAGAGGGAGAGGGACAGGACAGTTAATGGGATTTTTGTCGGGACTGAGGGGTTACACTGCCTGGGAGCCATCTTAAGGCATGTCTTTGCTTGGCTAATTAGTGGTGATCTGATCTTACTTTGATATGGTTCATCTAAATGTAACTCTGAAGCTATCTGAATAATACTAAAACCAGGGCTTCTTACTCTTCTTACTCTGTACATGAATGCTTTAAATGTCAGTGTTTAAGGCCCTGTTCCCACAGGATTCAACTTGAAAACAATCTCTTGATTGAGAAATCAAACTCTGATGTGCCTCTGGTTTGAACTGATTTTGTGTGTCTGTGTGACACTTTGCAGTTAATCATGGGCTTGGGCACCCAGGGAGCAGAGAAGAAGAGTGCAGCATCCATTGCCTGCTTCCTAGCAGCTAACGGAGCAGACTTGACTATTCGTAACAAGAAGGGTCAATCCCCTCTAGACCTGTGTCCTGACCCCAGCCTCTGCAAGGCTCTGGCCAAATGTCACAAAGAAAAGAGCAGGTAAATATCCCTCAAGGCAAAAGTTTGACATTTTTTGGTAAATGTACTTATTTGCTTCCTTGCCAAGGGTTGGTTGGAGAAGATTGATACCACTGTCAAGTCTGTGTGCTAAGTGGGAAAATCCACCTTCATACACTTCTAAAGATCAGCATTCTATATATGTACAAAAACCAAAGTGAAAACATGACAGTATGTGGATTTGTGATGAGTTATGTTTTACATTTTGATTAAACAAGTTCAACTTTAACCTAACCTTTCACCATAGTCAAATTGCAGTGCTTCTAAAGAGTCTTTAACAAGCAGAAAACCTTGTTACATGCAGGGATATAAATATAAGGGATGAACTTACAAGAGTGTGTTTTGGTGCTTTTAGGTATGCACTCACAGCTACTGTTACAGCGCCTGAAAGAGAGAAAGCAAAAGTACATCATCTCAGGAAAATTGTCAGACAATCTCATTGATTTCCTTTCTTTGCTAAAAATGTTTCATGTAGGGCTTGGTTTCCCTTTCTTGCCCTTTCCTTTATTTGGTTCCTTTTTAGTTTCTCTTTGTCTCCCCCTGTTTTCTTCATTCTCTGTCAGCATCTTTGGCTTGGGATCTCCTCTGCTCTCACACATTGTGGTTTTATTCTTAATGCCCCAGCGGCCAGGTGGGCACCCGCAGCCCGTCTCTGAACAGCAACATAGAGTCACTGGAGGAGTGTATGGTGTGTTCGGACATGAAGAGAGACACACTGTTCGGGCCCTGCGGGCACATCGCCACCTGCTCCCTCTGCTCGCCACGTGTGAAGAAGTGTCTCATCTGCAAGGATCAGGTCCAGTCAAGAACCAAGGTATCAAAGGCACTGCTACAATCTGCCCTACCAGAAATAGATGCACAGCAGCCTGTGGATTCTCCTTTTGTTTTATTTTGTCTTCCTTCAGATCGAGGAGTGCGTAGTGTGCTCTGACAAAAAGGCGGCCGTGTTGTTCCAGCCCTGTGGTCACATGTGTGCTTGTGAGAGTAAGTTGTACACATTTTCACTTCACAACTTTGGCATGAGCTTCTGTATAAATAACAGTGTTTGATATACTGTAGTCAGGCTGCATTCAGGTCTGACCAGTATGTATTTTGCTCCCCATCAGATTGTGCCAGCCTCATGAAGAAGTGTGTACAGTGCCGGGCTGTGGTGGAACGCCGCACCCCCTTCGTTCTTTGCTGCGGAGGGAAAGGTATGGAGGATGATGCCGATGATGATGATGATGATGATGATGATGATGATGGCCTTAGTGAGTGAATCTTCAACACATTCCCTTTTAATCCCACTCCCCTCCCCTCTTTTGAAGTTTTCTTTCTTTCTTTTCTTATTTCTTCACCTTCAAAACACCTGCTTTAGCCCATTTTGTCTTTACTTTGTTGCTGTCTTGTTTATGCATTTTAGACATGCATATTGTCTGCCTCACTGATGTGTTGTTTTACTGTCATTTTTTTAAATCCTAGTAGACACATAAGATGGTTACAAATTTATTCAGGCATTTTAATCAATCAGCCTTATTTTCTAGACTGTTTCCCACTACTAGATCTGGCATGTTTTAAACCTTACATCCATTGTAATCATGTCAATTTGTCCAAGCTTCTATTTAGATTTTGACTGTAGTCGACATCGGCCTCTCTAATGCTTCAAGGTCTGATCTTCTAGAAAGATAGTACTTTGTATTTCTCATCCTAATCTTTTAATACGTACAATCTCATAATCCATTTCTTGATTTTGCTTTGTTTATTATTCAGTTTACCATTCTGAATAATATCATTCAGTCTGAAAAGCTGGTTATCTTACTGATGTTTTTGTGGCCTCTAAAATTTTCACTAATCATCTTCGCATAAAATGGATCATCTAATTTGTAGGCCAAATGATATATGCATATTAATGCCCACATGAACCTATCAAAGGTGACTTATGATAGCTCCCTGTTAGGAAGTTTCTAAATAAGGACAGAGAACAGTTTTGAATGTTTAGTTTCACTGTAGGTCTGGAATATAATCTGTTTTACCTAAAATATGGCTTTTCAGATATGTGGAAGTAGCTGTCCGGTGAGTGATGAGTGTATCCTAGTGGGTAAATATGTGTTTTAGGTCGCATTCACAATCCGTCTTCTTGTCTCCAAATGAAACAGTGTTTTATTGCTATTATACTTATTTTAGTGGCTCATCTCACTAGTGGTCTTTGCTACATTTTATGTTAAGTTAAAAGAGAAACAGTTGTAAGGTCACTAACTTCACATCTACCCCTGTATTGATTATTTTGCACTTCTCCTCGTGCTGATTTGTCAGTATGCAAGTCTTTCTTGCAGTCATTACCAGAGTCGAATGCGACCAAAACATACATACACTCATGCAAGGGGCAGCATTGTTTATCTCTTTTCCCTTCATCCCAGTAACACTGATGGCTGATGTCTGTTACAAAAGCAAATCTCGTGCACAAAATTCATATCTCACTTAAATGATCTCAGTTCCCCACTTCCCTAGTTTGGGACGTGGTTTTTTTAATGTACTTCTAACCCAGTGAGCACAGGCATTAGACTCATGCTTAAGCACTGGCTGATGGCAAAAGGAGAAAGAATCACTTGCCGTTATGCATTTTAACTATCAGTTCTACCTAGAAGTGACTCTGTTCCCCTTTCTT